GCCCTTCTAGCTTATACAAAACCTTAAAATTGTAATCACTTCCTGTAAAAATAAGCCCTTCTAGCTTATACAAAACCTTAAAATTATAATCACTTCCTCTAAAAATAACAGTGAAATGAGCTTCTGTCTCCATTATAATTCATCAAACATCATAAACCATCTACAAGCTTATAAGCTCCAGTGAAAAAGGAATGGGTTTTGACCTCTTGGCTTGTTTATGATTATTTTTGTTTGTTAGTGCATTTTGAGGTTGTTTGTTAGGCTATATACAATAATTCTACAGGGTTAAGACATCAACAAAACCATTTGCAAGACTTCTGTAGTAAGATTAATGGGGATTTAGTTGCAATCTGAAGAGTTAACCATGGTTAGAAAGGCTTCAGTAGTTTCAACTGTATTATGTCCCAGAATTGTCATGCCTCCACAGCAGCAGCTCGTTTGGTGGAATGGTACAGGGAGAGAATCTTAGGTTTTTTGCCCCTTTTCTTAAAGCAATAGCCTGTAGGGTAACATGTTGAAACCTGGTGTTCCTCCCATCAGTAGCGGGAAGAGGAAGGTATGTTCAACTATTTAAATTATCTTACTCCCATACTGATATGTACGTAACACAGTTTTGAACCCTTGCCTTTGCTGTTAAATTCTCTTTATAATAAACCACAGAGAGTTTGTTGCCTTTAGTGGTATTGAATCAGTTCTCTTTATAATAAACCACAGAGAGTTTGTTCCCTTTAGTGGTATCGAATCAATGTTAATGGTATAATTCAAATGAGATTTGGAATACAAACATGGAAAAAAAGCACATAAATATATATTATAGCCATCCTCCTGAATATTCAAACATTTCAAATGTTTCTTACTAAACTGGTTCACAAATGCACTAATTTTGAAAGTAACTTATAACTCCCTGATCTTATAAGGCTTTATATTTGAGTTTTGGTTGTGTCAAAGCTAACTTCCAGTGATGTAATTCGTTATGACCAGGTGTCTTTTCATCTGAATTTCATGGTTGAACTAGTCTTACACAATCCTGCTGTTGTCCACAAAATCATTCCTCTGGATACAGAACTAGATCTGTGATTATTCACACTGCTAAAACTTAGCAGTTGTTACTGAGCAGGCCTCAAATGAAGACATATATCTCACTGCTCAAAATGCACTTTATTTTGTAACTGTCAAAATCTCATCTGTTATGTACATACAAAGCCCTCCTAAAACACTGTCTTTACTGTCTGTGCTTATATTTGGCATAGAAAAATTATTCAGGTGATTTACCCCTTCTATGCATACTTCTTTTATATTAGAAACAATACTTTTATTTTTCTGTGCTTTATTTACAGACGGGTGAACAAATTCATGTCAGTTTGCCACTATCTCAGCAAGTTTCTAATGAGAGCAGGCTCTCTATGTCTGAATCTGTTTCAGAGTTCTTTGATGCACAGGAAGTGCTTCTGTCTGCCAGCTCGTCAGAAAATGAGGTAGGCTGTGATAGCATGCTGCAGCTTTGCTGTTGGACAGATTTAGGTATTGCTATCACTAGTGAATGATTTATTTTTTTTATATAATGCTAATAGAATAAAAACATATCAGAATGTGTAAGGTGTAGATAAATGAACCTGAGACTCCCTTGTGATGGGGTGCAGAAGTTTCCTGAAGTGTCAGACTAAGTTGAAAGTTGTTTGTATCGGTAGCTTATGTTCAGTACATGTCCTTGCTAGACTACGGAAGTTTCAGATAAGGATGACATAGACAGGAACAATTATGTCTGACTATGCAGTCAACTAATTTACATTTTGAAACATTCTTTAAAAAAAAGTTTTCAAGTATACATATAAAGTTATTCTCTATAATCAGAGAAGTAGACAAAAACCTGAAAAATTGCATCATCAGGCTCAAAGTTGAAGCAGTCAGAGTGAGTACAGGCTCCTGAATCATGTTGCTGTCTGCAACTTTCCTATGCTATCCTGAATAAATTCTTCAATTTTATTTTTTAAAATACCTTTTTATAAAGCCACAGTAGTGCTGCAGTCTACCACAACTCTTCTGTAAGAGGAAATAAGAGTATGCCACCATATTTTCTCTTTGAAAAGGATTGCTCATGTGCCATGAGTTGGCACAACCACTGCTAGAGCTGTTCGTCTAAAGAATGGAATGGTTCCTTATCTTATTCCTTCTGGCAAGTGTAAAATACATGTTATTTCAGTAGTCTGGGTTGTCTATATTGGCATGGAAAATTGGTATGTCTTTATGGTATAAACAAAAGGGAAACTTTACAAAACCACTCCCAAATGTTATAGGCCTTATAACAAATACTGTCATCAGTAAATACTGTAAAATATTTTGAAAGTAATACTTCTGAAAATAAATATTTTAAAAAAAATCTTAAAAATAGCCAAAACTAATGTAGTTACTGTTTTGCAAGATGATAGGTTGATGTTTATATAATATTTTTGCTGAAATGCAAGCTGCATTTTATTGTTTGGTTCTTTATAAAGAGCACAAATCTGACTCTTTCCACCTCTTATCCCCAGTGCATTACATTGGCAATTTTTTTGTTCATCTCTAATCCTTTTGCAAATTTAATGTCTGTATTTGGCTTTAAAATAAGGAATTCAGAAACATAAAGAGAGCATAGCACTTGTTTTGATGCTTTTAGTGCATTGGCAGTATGGGTTGATTGAAACATCCAGTTGATTTTGGTAAAAGCTCTAATGGGGTAGAGATTATTTCTTTGAAAACTTCTGTTTCAATTAATTAATTTTGTCTATTTTGCCAGTTTATTTTATCTGTATTTGAGTTAATTGATATTTTATTTATGTTTTAGGCTTCTGATGATGAATCTTATATCAGTGATGTGAGTGATAATATATCTGAGGACAACACCAGTGTTGCAGACAACATTTCTCGGCAAAGTATACTGCTATGTTTTAAACTTTAAGAAATTACATTGGTTATGTTCATGTACCAGATTTACTGCATGTCTGTACAAGACCAACAGCTGAAATCAGTGAAACTGGGCTTGCTTATTTTGATGGTGATTTGGTTCAAAAGATAAGTCTGGTTTTCTTAATCTGATGCTTTCTTATGATAATAGTTTTTTCCCTCCCTAGTTCTTAATGGTGAACTAACAGGAGGCGCATTCAGGAACGGACGGAGAACTTGTCTCCCAGCTCCCAGCCCTGACACCAGTAACATCAATCTGTGGAATATTTTGAGAAACAACATTGGCAAAGATCTTTCCAAAGTATCCATGCCAGTTGAGTTAAACGAACCTCTGAATACCTTGCAACATCTTTGTGAAGAGCTGGAATACAGTGAACTCTTGGATAAGGCTGCTGAAACAGATGATCCTTATGAGCGCATGGTAATAAATTTAGTGTAGCACTTTTTAATACAGATATAAGAAGGGAGCTGTTGAGTGGACTCCTCTGCAGGGTCCTCTCTTGCTCTTCCTCTTCACAGACAGCAGACGTCCCTGCTGGGTCAGATAAATGCTGTCAACAATTACAGGTGGTAGGTTTGATTTGAACAAGGCTGAGGGACTTCTCTTGACTTCAAACCAAGTCCTGCAATTATGACTCATTGATGTGAAGACTGATCTCACTCTCTAGGACTGTATATACAGGCATTGGCGGTTTCTAATGCTGCAGCATCCTTTCCTGGCTGTGAGCAGATTATCCATAACCAAGTGATTTTTACCCCTGTATTGCTCTTCTGAAGTTTTGTTTGGTCTTCTCAGTGCCTGTTGTGTGTGGTTTTTTGGTTTTTTTTTTTTTAATTCTGCTAAAGGGAGCTGTAGTCTAAATTACTCTAGCATGTCACTTAGTTTATTACATCTAGCTAGGCCTGATGCAGAGATTACTAAATTTTGGTTATCCATGTAGACAAGGAGGCTGACAAGGCCTTACATACAGGTAAGATCCTGAGATAATTTTGCATTAAGTACATCCTAAGTGAGAGCTGTTTATGTTTGGCATTAAATAAAATAGTTCCCATAGGAAAATGGTATGTGGTGTTGTCATTAGAAGTTATCATATAATATTTATTCACCAGGACCATAGACTAGAGCTGGGTTTGTGTTTTAGATGATTAGTGATAAGCCTGGTCAAAGGTAGAAAAACAGTATTAGGTGCAGATTGTTATTTTAGGGGACTATTGAAAGAGACTGACCGAGGCCCTGAAGAAAAATGCATTATATTAGCAAAAGAAGTACAGTTTGTACTGGTTCTGGCTGGGATGTATGGCTTCACTGTCGGGCATGCTTCATTAATCCAGGTTTCACTCTGAGTTGTGTGATACCACATGGTGATGGCGTATACATAGGAATCTCTGCCTATTCTCTCTTATGTGCTTGTCTGTATTTGCACAGGTTCTCATAGCCGCTTTTGCAGCATCAGGCTATGCCTCTACATACTTTAGAGCAGGAAGCAAGCCATTTAACCCAGTGCTTGGTGAAACTTATGAATGTATTAGAGAAGACAAAGGATTTCGATTTTTCTCAGAGCAGGTAATGCTTGTTTCTATACAGACACTCCTGTTTAGATGTAGATTTTGGTTTCTTTGTTTTATAGAGTAATCTTGTTTTTCTTTCTAGTTAGAATGGTTAGTATGATTGAACTTTGTTAAATGCTAGAAGGTATACATTTTTACAATAATCACAAGGAAGTGTTTTAAGTACAAACTTAAGTTGTATCTGTTTTCATAGCAACATAGCCTAACAGTGTGGGCTATTTAGCATTTTCATATTGCAGTAACAATTGTATTGTCTTAGAAATGAAAATGAATTGGTTTTAACTCAGCCAAACTGTTTTCCAGGTTAGCCACCATCCTCCCATTTCGGCCTGTCACTGTGAATCGAAGAACTTTGTATTTTGGCAAGGTATACTTTTTTGATTCAAAAGCATAAACTCCTTTTTTATTAGCAAGTAAAAACTTTGTCTGTACAAGCTGAGCTTTGCATTTGGAACTTACTCAAAATTTCTATACTTATTATTTTTGTAGTAACATATTGCAAACTGATGCTCTGAATTATTTCACTTCAAATCCTCAAGAGTGAGCAGATGTGTTACAACTTCCCTGTTGCTTGTAATCTGTTTATACTTTTCTGCTTAAAAGTTTTTTACCAAGAAAATTACTATTTCTTACAAACACGAGCAGTTCTTTTTACACAGTTGAACAAGCATCTCTTTCCTTGTATCTACTGGCATGTGTATTTAATTTTTATTGAGTGTTTTCATGAGATATTTAACAATAATGTAGCACAGACATGACTCCTAGAAGAAAGTCAAACTTATCTTTAGTTTTTCTGGCCTAATGTAATTTTATAGATTTTTTTTTCTTTTGTATTTTCATGGCAATCTCATACAGTCCTGTTTTAAACCAGATGGTCTAGCACAGATCGTCTCGTGTGCCCCGCAGATCATTGAAAGGGGGAGAGTTTGGTCTTTTCAGTTTTGTATTTCTTTCACTATTACATTCAGATATCAGGTGGAAAAACAAATTCTGGGGGAAATCAATGGAAATTCTGCCAGTTGGAACCTTGAATGTGACTCTTCCAAAGTAAGCTACTGTCCTATTTCCTTTTATTCTCAGTCTTTGCTGCAATCTAACCTGTGCAGATTTGTGAATAGATTGGGGGAATGTGTGCAGACATTGTGTGAATTGTACTGGTGAAAGTTAATGCCTGGCTCAAATCTCTGCTTAGTGTACAGGTGGGGATACTGAAGCATTTGGGGGCCTGAAGATCCATTTAGGTTTTTGGAGAAAAAATATACAAACTTTCTAGAAAGTGATAAACAGAGGGGGATAAAAATGTTTTAGGAGAGAGAACCCAAGTTTTACATGCACAGTAGTGATCAGCTGTTCAGAACAATGCAGCAATCAATATAGGACTGTCAGCAGCTAGTGCTGTTCTTACTAAGGCTCTCAGTAGTTAGTGTTCCCTCAGAATAACCATTAATAATAATGCAAGGTTGTTTTTTAAAATGTATATAAGCCAAAATATGTTCTTAAGATGTTGACAGAGTAGTGAGAAGAACAGGTTTCACCACAGGTAGGAGTAGTTGCAAGTTGTAAATCCTGAGAATATGCAAGGAGACGTTACTTGAAACATGTCTGCTGGTTTTGCAGTACTGTTCCTGCTACTGGACATCACAGCCAGCCTTTCTTTCTGCCTCTAACAGTATGGCGTCGCTCCACTTCACCTCTTTATCCATCTCATGAAATTGAAGTAAATGCACTCAGAAGAATCTTTGTCTTCTGTCTCCTTGTTTTCCTGTCAACTCTGAAGGAGAATATGCTTTGCACAATATAATTCCCTCTTTTTATTCCCTTGTTTGACAATACAGATGCTCTGACTCTAAGTAGTAGTTACAGAAGGAAAGGGATGATGTGCCAGTGAGCTCCTGCTTCCTTTCTGTTTTCTCCTTTCATATTTATTTTGTCCTATTTATAATTTAATTACATTCTCTGCCTATAGCCTCAAGTCAGCCTTATGTTGATCTTTGCATCACTGTCCTGCTCCTAAAGGAATTGTAGCCAAAACACTTCATGCTCTGAGGACAGTGAATATGTCGTGCAGGTCTTTGGTGGTTCATAATGTCCTGATTTGTGGCTCATAGCACCATTCTTCAGTTCTCTGCGCTAGAGCTTAGGTGAGCTCCTCTATGGAGGATTAGTAATGTACCCAGAAGCAAGGCTTTAATAAAGTAAGCTATTTTAAAAGTTATTGAGTAATATGGTCTTGTATTTATAATAATGGAGCTATGCTTTACCTTCGTGTCCCTAATGATCATGATTAATGTATGTTACTAACGACTTGTTAATCTGTTCTTAGATATGGAGACTACTACGTCTGGAACAAAGTCACTACTTGCATACATAATATTCTTAGTGGAAGGAGGTGGATAGAACACTATGGAGAGATAACTATCAGAAATACAAAAAGCAGTGTTTGTATTTGTAAACTCACATTTGTCAAGGTAACATACGTATTCTAATACATATCATAAATTTGTAAAACTGCATAGTTTAAGCATGCATCAATCTGTTTCTTCACTATTCCTGAAATCCACATTCTATATGTCGTCTCATCAACATTTGTAGATATGTAAATTGTTAAATGATAGTGCTATGTCAAGTAGTATGACTATTCCATTGAACATTTGATACCAGCGTGTTGCATTTCTGTATACTGGAACAGGTTGCCCAGAGAAGTTGTGGATGCCCCATCCCTGGAAGTGTTCAAGACCAGGTTGGATGAGGCTTTGGGCAACCTGGTGTAGTGGAGGGTTTCCCTGCCCATGGCAGGGGGCTTGGAACTAGATGATCTTTGAGGTCCCTTCCATCCCAAACCATTCTATGATTCTATGATTCTATAGCTGTGCGCTATACTGTTGTTGGGTTTAGGTTAAAAATGAAATGTCAAAATTTCTTTTCTATTATCACAATGAAAACACAAAGTCACTGTAGACTTCTCTGCCGCTTTACTTCTGCCTTAACTAGAATTTGACAGTCAATATTTTGTCTCTTTAGAGTGAACAATGCTCCTTTGGTTCCTAGTATTTTAATATCCAGTCAAGGACCATATATAAAACCAAATCACTGCATAACTATGTTACTGACAATTATTTTCCCTAAAAATAGTTTTGTCTTCATATTGCAACAAAATACATCAATACCATTGTTGTGTTAGCAATGGTGCCTTACTAAAGGTTCTAAATCTGAAATTCATGTTTTGATGAATGTTCTGAGAATGGGCAACTGGCTCAGTAGGTGAAGGTGTAAGAAATAAATGCATCTAAGAAAAGCAAAATAGGGAAGAGAAACAGAAAGCAAGAAACAGCAAGTAATTATGGCTGAATGACTTCCTGCTGCAAACAGTAATATGCAGCACCTATCAAAGGATTCCCTTACATGTACAGGTATATTCAGTATTTATCCATATAGAAAGAAGAAAGTTAGCATGCTCTGATCTTTCAATTTTCAGTGTCATTTTTGCTGAATTGTGTGGGATTTGGGTTAATGAACAACAATATACTTCCCAGATTGGTAGATAATTTAAATCCCTTTATATAAACCCCACATGTCGAATTATTCAGGGTTTCTCATATACTAAATCAATGAATATTCAGATCATCTGAATTTTTGAATTCTGATATTCTTGGTTCAAGCTGAGCTGTTCAGATACAAAATTTGGACAGTCAGTGCCATATAGCAAGATTCATGCATTATCTGTATTGGCACAATGGATAATTTGAAAAACAGTGTGAACTAGTAATTTGTTGTTAAACTTGCAGGTAAACTACTGGAATTCAAATGTAAATGAAGTCCAGGGTGTTGTAATAGATCAAGAAGGGAAGGTGGTTCATCGCCTTTTTGGAAAGTGGCATGAAGGCCTTTATTGTGGGGTTGCACCTTCAGCCAAATGCATATGGAGGCCAGGTAAGAGGCTTGTAATGAACAGGCACTGTAGTGTAACACTAAACTCTATAAAGCTGTTTTAGCTGTCATTGTAAATACACAAAATACTAGTATAGAATTTAAATTTCTGGCTAGACGAATAAACAAGAATTTAAATTAGTTTAATACAATGGTAAATGGAAATATTCCTACAGGCATAATCTTCTACATCTCAGTCTGACTCCTGGTCAAATATTCTAGGGTCTTGGGTCAACATAAGAATAAAATTTAAAAAAATATTGCATGTCTGGGCCTGCCTGTGTGTCTTCTCACAGAGAGCAGAGTAGCTTATTTGCATTCAACAAATAGGAGGTGCCAGTTTATTGAGTTTATTGTCTTAATGTTTGATTAGCATAAAGGATTGGTCTTCAGAAATGGCAAGCTCCTGTGATTTCAGGAGCTGATTTCACTGCTTGCTTAGAGGCACTGAGGTTCAATTAGTCATCCTTTGTACCTACAGTATCTTTCATACATGCAGACTGATTACCCAGGAATTGTCATTATTGTTAGTATTTTGAACCCTACCCTGTATTGATAATATTTAAACCCTACTCTGCACTCTACTCTGCAACATCTACTTTGACCGCTGTTAGTGCTGGAGGTGTTGGACAGTGCCGAATCAGCCTGCGAGTGAGTGTTATGTTCTAAAATTCACTTTGAAGATAAGTTAGGGTTAGCTTCTATACAGACATTTGATAAGCCCACTTTCCAGGGAACAGGAAACTATGTTTGACTTGAAAATCTTGAAAACAGTAATTTTTATTCAAAAAGGAAGGAAGATCATAAAAGTTTTGAATCTATTAGCATGTAATTACAACCTCTGCAGGATAAGCAGTTGAAAATAATATTTAGGGAATGTTGTTCCACCTAGAGAATAGCTTTTGATGCTTTTTAATTGTATGTAAGAGTCAAATATATTAATATTTTTGCTGTTACAACTTAATAGATAAATGAATCTCTTGCATTTTTAGAGTAATAGTTTTAAAAGATTTTTTTTTTCTCATGCATATTCATACAGGCTCCATGCCAACCAATTATGAACGTTATTATGGCTTCACAAGGTTTGCTATTGAGCTCAATGAATTAGATCCTTTACTGAAAGACCTTCTTCCTACAACAGATGCACGATTCAGGCCAGATCAAAGGCAAGAATACTTATTTATACACTTAATAATTGGTGGGTTTAAGGCTGGATTTGGCTAAGTATTGAATCTATGTCTTCACTACAGTCTGAACTACGCTTTGGAGGATTGTGCTAGCAGAGAAAGTATTCAGTATTGCAATCAAATTTCTGCTTTACCTAGTTGAGGGAAAGTAGAAATTATCTTGTTAGTATAGTAGAGCTATAGTGCAATCTTTGGGCAGAGGTAGGATTCCTCATAACAAACTGGAAAGACAGGCTCTGAAATGTGCCCTGCTGCTATGAATGGAAGCAACATTGGTTCCCTCCTAAGTCTCAGTTCATAGTACTTCAATGCTTGTGATATGCTGAAGTTGCTAAAGAAAGTGTGTGCCTTAGGCTGTAGGTCAGGTACATGTAACTGGGGAGTCACGTCTCAGTTATTTTAGGAGGTCATGATTAGATCTGAAAGTGGGTACAACACAGATAACAGGCTTGGCTCATGCTTGTCTTTTGTGGCGACTGGTGATAGAAAATCCCTTATTCTAGATGCTGTATGATTGCTATAGGACCTGTTGTTATTCATACAGGCTTCTGGAGGAAGGAAATGTGGAAGCAGCAGCATCTGAGAAACAAAGAATAGAGGAACTCCAGAGAGGTCGAAGGCGGTACATGGAAGAAAATAGCATTGAATATGTACCCAAATTTTTTAAGTGAGTCATTCATTTCAGTAGTCTCTGTTTTCTGTAGCGTGACTGGACAAAGTACTACAAGAATTACCACCAACATACTGTTAATTGTGTTAATTGCCTGAAGCAATTTTTACACAGTTTAAAGCTTCATAATTGAAAGATCATTTTCTTACAGTGAGCAACAGGTATACAAGTCTGCTGCATCCTTGGCCAATGTTTTTTGAACTTTGAAGTGGAATAAAAGTATAATATTAGGATCTAATATTTAACTATATTATTGTTTTAAGTCATTGCATAAACAAAGTAATAGTCACCTGAACAATATCATACATATATATATAAAAAAAGTCTAAAATATTTTTTAATTTTAATTAAGTTTTTTTTTGTTTTTAATTAAGCATTTTGGTTTTAATTAAGCATTTTGTTTTTAATTAAGCATTCTTCTGAAACAAGGGATAGTCATACCAAATAGCCTTATGTTTAGCATGGGGAATCAAAAGAGAAAAGATTGAACATGCTTGATGCAGTTTTGTAGCGGAAGATGAGCAAAAATCAGAGGAGACAAACAATAAGTAAAAGGCTTACATTCTGCAAGCTAAATCTCATGGTTGATCCAACAACAGATTTGTGATCTTGGCTGTTTTTCAAACCTTCTGCTTTTGACGCAGGTAGAGGTCGATTTTTAAGCCTCTGACTGTTTTTATTTATATGAAATATAAATCTAGAAATAAGAAAGCAGATTTTTATTGGTTTAGATCATAGAGGTATGAAATTTGATTTCATATTGCATAAGAGGAGAGATCTATGGTCAGAACTTTTCTTTTCCTCTCTCTCTTTTGTTTGCTTTTTTTTTTTTCATTACTACAGAAAAGTTATCGACGCTAATCAAAGAGAAGCCTGGGTTACCAACGACACCTACTGGGAACTGCGAAAGGATCCTGGCTTTAGTAAAGTAGAAATTCCCGTACTCTGGTAAACTGAGAATGTAGATCTAGTAAACATATCACTCTGAAGAAAAAAATAACTATGCACAATATGTTTCTTATAGCTAAACATGGTTTGTGGGTCTACAGAAAAACCTATCATTTGCATTTATATTCATCTTTATAATGGACTTTTGAAAGTGCATTAGACCAGGCCCCTGACCACTTCTGGATCTTTTTAATTTTGCAGCAGCCATTAAAAAAAAAATGGAAAAAAAAGAAACAGAAACCTTTTAAAGTTTCATATACTGAAAATTCAGAACAAAAGAAGCAGATGAGTTATCCAAAGTCACTCGGAAGAGGTGGTAGAAGCAAAACTGCAACCGGTGCTTTAAACAGACATTAAGAGTAATGTAATTTAAATTAAAAAAAAAGGAAGAAAAAGAGAAAAATTTCCATTTTGTTTCAACTATTTTTGTTAAAAACTTTTGGGTCACTACACTGTCATTTCTGGCTTCTGGTTAGCCCTTTGGTGTGACGTGCTTGGACTGGCCTTTGTCAAAAAGATACGCTTTTCCGGAAGCTGTTTCCATTCATATGCCATTGTTCATGCCTTAAACAAAATATGAAGATGTACAGTAAGTAATTTTAAAATACGTATGCTTAGGCTTGTGTGAAGGGCAGATTTTTAAAGCACTAGAATTATATCATGATAGAAATATTGGAGAACCTGCATTATTTAAAATCAAAAGACAGCCAAACATCTAACAGTATTTCAGAGGAGTGAGATCTACTGTACTTGCTTTAGCTTTGGGAAGCTGACTGTATAATCAGACTGAAAAGAAACTGCTAACTGGTTGAATTTGAGACAATTCTGTTAAATGCATATGATTGCTGGTCAGAAAGATCATATTCTAAATGACTGACACTGAGATGCATTCATCACTTTTACCACTGTTTGGACATAGTCTCACAGCGAATCTCATTTCCACATAACTGTTTATACAATTAGAATTCCCTGACGCTTTGCAACAGCATTAAAAGCACAGAAAGATTTCATGGGAAGGTCTCTGGCTTCTCTCCAGAAGCTGGATAGTACTGTAAATGCAACTATTTTCTGCCACACACACTGTTTACTTTACTGGCTCTGTTTTTGCCCCATCCACTTTTCTTATCTGAATTTATATTTGAGAGTAGGCAGAGGCTCCCATGCATTGTAGCTAACAACTACTACTTGTGTTGCCAAAATAGCTTTTGTGGAAAATTATATTTTACAGTTTTTCATAAAGTGATTGTATATTTTTTGATTAAGAACCAAGTCTCTTATATGTTGCTAAGCTTCGGTTAATATATTTAGGAGAAGGCTTGGCACTTTCGATTTCAAAATCTCTGAAACATTAAACAGTAGGAGGGCAGATTTTAATAAAAGGAAAAAAAGTAGTTTTATTAGGTAAAAACTGCATTCCATATGGTGTGATCGAGTCTTCCATTTATGCATACATTATACATCCAGGAACTGATGAGAGGCTAGATTTCATGCATAAACACTGTCTTTCTTTCTACACACAGCGTACATAGTGCACTTGAATTTTTCTATTTAAGATCAATTCCAGTCCTGAAAACTAAAAAAAATTATTAGATAGGTATGTGATCCTGCCAGTAGAGCTGCTTGAACAGTTCTCAGTAGATTACCACACATACCCAGCTCTCCGCCTGCCTCTTCCTTTCGCAAAGTCAGGTTCCTATAGAAATGAGATTCCTTTGATTATTTAATATGCATTTAGTTCTCCCCCTTGTTTGTATGGCAAAGCAACTGGCAGAGCAACTAGCCACTAATGAATTCCAATTTCTTCACGCAGTTCTGTTACCAGGAAGAACTATGAAAACCTAAAGAAAATACCAAGTAGACTTTTTAAAAATTGGGAATGCTCATTAATTGCTTATGAATATTTGGTGTAAAACAAACTGTGCAGAATAACAGGATTTCTTCCAAGGAAAATTTTGAATTATTCAAAGAATGATTTCTTTTGCTTTCCTAATTGAACTCAGTCTGATTTTTTTTTTTTTTTTAAGCCTTCAATTGTTGTTTTAAGAAAATGAAAATATATCAAAGTTTGGGTTTTTTAATCATAGTTGGCTAACTTCATCCTACTTGCTTTAATGACGTTACGCTATGAATCAAATTGGCACATTATGTGCAAAATAGCAATTAATTATTCTGTGTCACTTTCCTTAAAAACAACATTATTAAACATTTGCCCACCTCATGCTCCTGTCTTTGTGTGCAGTTCACCATGACATTATAAAGCATTATGTATGTATGACTGCAAGTACATTTGAGGGACAGAAACGGCATGTCCTCAGATTTTTTTGAAAGTTGGTTTTTAATTTAAATACAGAAATAAGGTTTTTAGTTTTACAGTGTTCTGCTAGTGCTTTGCGAATGTCATTATGTGCGATGCAAACTGAAACTTGGTGAACACTAAAGATGCTATCACTGATTTAATTATGTTTTATAATTGTTTATTCGACACTCATTGAAAGAAAAATAGCATTAACATTTTTGGAATTGAAAAATACTTGTGATGTGCTAAATCTTTCTTTGAAGGCACTATGTAAGCCTACTGAACGTTAAATTAGTTAATTAGTAAGTAGAGGAAACACAAAACAATGCATCACAAAATACTTGCAGTCTTTATCAGAAATTGAAAAGTGATAGGAAATGTACCATAAAACAATTTCTTCTAGTGCAGAATTTTCTGGATTCTGTGCAAAATCTTTTATTAAATTTTTCCTGTAACATAGGAGAACATCATGACATATCTTGTGCTGTTTCTGAGGAGAAGGGGTTAACAGAGGATAGGTCTGAGGGCTTCTATCTTGATTCTTACTTTTAGACATCCTGTGAAATTTCACCAGCACTGGGTCGCAGAGGATAGTGGGCTTTCCACTCCCCTGCCATTGTAGCACGGAATGGGGTTTCCCGTGTTCCAAAGAGAACACACTGTGGCTCCTTTGCAGCCTGGCACTCACTGTAAGTGCCTGCTGCTTTTTGACAGGGCTGCTGCTCGGCTGTCCCTTCCCAGCACATGGTGTTTTTCCACCTCAAATGCAGACCTTTGCACTGCTGTTGAATCTTGTGAAACGTCTTCTGACCCGGTCCTCAAGCCGAGCAAGGTTCTTCTAATTGAAATTCTGCCATTTGACGTGCAGTCTCATCCTCCTAATCTAATGCCAGCTGAGAACTTGTTAGCATGTAGTTTATGTCCTTGCCCAGGTCGCTGGCGAAATGTTGATTGACATGGGCCACCAAATGGACCCCTGCAGGGCTCTTCTCATTGCTGGGTGCCTGCTGGGTGTAAGCCAATGATGAGTGCTCTTCAAACCTGGGGATTTGGGCAGTTTTCAGCCCACCTTACTCCATTCATCCAGGCAGTATTTCCTTCTGAAAGGCATGAAAAATACTTACTAACTCAGTAGATTTAATTGCTATAGGTTTGGTATGTCACAAAAATAGTGCAAATCATTTGATATTTAAAACCTTTTAAACAATTTAAGAATTGCTAACTTTCACTACAAAGCCATAGCTTTTGCTTTTTCCTGTGTTTTCTTAAATCACTTATTTCTGTATAAAATACGCAACACTTATGCTTTAGTTTCACAATAGTGAACTGTACTTTCAATTAATATTTTAAAAGTGTACCTTAGTTCGTTCCCTGTTCTGGTACTGCGGATATGATAGGATAATAATAGTTATGTTCATCAAAGGTAACGTCTTATGAAGAGACTTAAATAACTTCATTCCTATTTTAGATCTGTATTAATAAGATGATATATTTTTCAGCATATTAGAAATTGTTATCTCTCTGAGAAATACAATTTGAATATGAGTTCATTTTTGTACAGTATCACTGTGATTAAAAAGTTATCTAGATACACATTCTAATTTTAGGCAGATGTAAGTTGTATAAAATAAACTTATTTGTATTTGGCTTTAAAAGTGAGCTCCAACTATAATACTCTTTTCATGTTACAAATAATGTTACTTTTTTTTTTTTCCTCATTCTGAACTTCTGACTCCGAATGAGCTCGTATGGCATTTGTGGGTTTTATTTGAATAGCACGTTAAGCATATGTCAAATATTGCAGTATGTATAGATGACACACTTTTTAAAGATTTTGCCCTTAATTCCCTAGTGGACACTGTCAGAGCTTTATGGAAATAAGTTGCACAAATCTTAAGGCACACTAGCAGCCAGTGTTGGTCTTGCTCTCGTGGGTGCTTGGTGAGGAGCTTCTGTTTCCTGTGGAGGTAACATGGGATTTTCTCACTCTAGAACCAGGCACAGTGGAGCCCAGTGCAATGCAGTCTTGCTCATAGAGTTCCTCTAAAAAAATCAGATTTTTTAGAAATGCCCTGGAAGGGAAGGGGAGTTTCATTTGCACTTGTACGGTAACCAAGAGGGCTGAATATGCCAATTCTCTGTGAGTTTTGCAAAACTTGTTTTCACCAGCAAAGGTCTGTTAGTATAGGGAAGGTTTGTGTGGTCTCCTTGTTTTATTGGATTTTGAATATTGTCTGGCACAGAGATAAACACTAGCTGTTTAACATGCCATTTGCTGCAGCTGTAATCTGAGAAATTAACTCTATTTTAGATGTCATTACTAATGCTGGAGCTGCATAATGGAAATAAAAGAGAGTTTTTGAACTAAATCCACCTGAAAGGAAAGGGTATTTGTATCCATATGCTAAAATAATAGAATGAGTTAAGTTAGAAAGTTTGGCCCAGCTGGGGGAAAAAGATTAATATTGGCAAAACTGTGTAAGAAACACTGGCATGGCCTCATCAGTCTTCCTGTGTTATACACAGACCTGTGAGAAAGCTAACAAACCTTACTATGTCATAACCACTTACCTTGGCAGATACTGCGGCTGAAAATACTATCTTGGGTTTTCTTCCTGTCTGTCATTAAGTAAAAGGCAGCAAAAATGTATAAAACTTGAATTTTCTCTTTAAAGCATATATTGATAAAAGTTGAGGTAGGCAGGGATACAGTGGCAACTAAAGTTTTTTTGTTAATATGCTTAG